GTCAGAACTGGCGGTCAGTTTCAGCAGCGGCTGAATCTGGACGCCAGTTCCGACTTACATACAGATTCAACTTAAGAACAAACCTACAGTCCCTATCTTGTACATAACCCGGGGACTGCCTGTATACTGTCTTAAAGGCTCTGATTTCCAAGCTCAGATAACACATAAAAGTGATTAAATAAACCAGGATCCCATCAAAGCTAAGTCCTCTCTCTCATCTGGTGTAAACCAGGAACAACTCCACAAAAGTCAGTGGGGCTTCCTGGGTGCAATGCTAGGGTAAACAAATTAAGGTTCAGGCCGAGGACCCTTCAAATATTCAGCTGCTAATATAATTCCTTTAGTCTTGTGATTTCTCAGTTCCAGCCCGTCTGAATGGTGCTTTAGAGCCGCTCTCCCTCTTTATTTCCCCTCTGTGACACTGATGAAAGGGAATCAGCTTAACCCTACACTGCTTGGGCACCTATGCTGTGGTGGGGCTAATACAGAAGGAGCCCAGGGTGATCCCCAGCTAGACACTGTGGCAATACATTCTCCAGTGGAAATAGACACAGTCTCCTCTTTGCAGCTGATATCAGCACTGAAGAGCTGTTTTCTGGGCTAGGCAAACCTCGCCACAGGAATTTAACCCTTTCTCAGCCAGTGCTTGGGGCTTTGCATCCATTTGGGCAGCTTCCTGGGGGCGTAGAGGTTTTGAATAGAACCTGAGGGTTCAGTCAAACAGCGCTAATATGTAGCAATCACAACTGGGTGGGGGCCAGTCAGGTGGGGAGTCAGCCAAGCCCGCCTGGACTACCAAATGCTGCTGCTTTAAACAGGATCTCAGCTAGCTGCAGTCAGAGCTACCGGGTGCCTAACGTCATAGAGCAACATAAATAGCAGGCAAGGGGGGCACAGATTTCAAACACACGTGGTGAGGTAGCTTCTGAGCGCTGCCTTTGCAGATGCATGTAGCACCAGGGGCTCTCACCATGTGCTCAGGCTTGTCCTTGCTTTTGGACAGTTCCAGCTGCAACCACCCACCCCCTTTTTAAAAAACAACTGTTTTATTTTTCCCTAGGAAACTTCAGCAGCTGGATCTAAAGGCCAGGTTTGAGCATGACGCTTTGTTTCTTGTGGAGCTAAATGGAATGTGCCGGGGCTACGGAGGCAGTGCTGGGGAACAGGCAGAATCTGCCGGGCAATGTGAATAATGAGAGATGCTCCGAACTGCTGCTTGGATAACCTGGTTGCTTTGGGGGAATGAGCATGTCATGGAGATGCATGGGGATACCTGTGTGTGTGTGTTCATGGAGATGCATGGGGATACCTGTGTGTGTGTGTTCATGGAGATGCATGGGGATACCTGTGTGTGTGTGTTCATGGAGATGCATGGGGATACCTGTGTGTGTGTGTTCATGGAGATGCATGGGGATACCTGTGTGTGTGTGTTCATGGAGATGCATGGGGATACCTGTGTGTGTGTGTTCATGGAGATGCATGGGGATACCTGTGTGTGTGTGTTCATGGAGATGCATGGGGATACCTGTGTGTGTGTGTTCATGGAGATGCATGGGGATACCTGTGTGTGTGTGTTCATGGAGATGCATGGGGATACCTGTGTGTGTGTGTTCATGGAGGTGCATGGGGGTGCCTATGGGTGGGTGAGTGTACAGAGAGGTACCTGTGTGGATGGAGGGTTCCACTGTGTGTGTGTGTGCGCGCATGTGTGTGTGTCAGTGTTCATGGGAGTGTATGGGGGGTAACTGTTCTATGGAGGATTCCAGTGTGAGCACAGGGGGGTAGAGAGGTGCCTGTGCAGGGTGTATCATGACTTTATACTTAAGTAAAGTGTAAGTTCTGGATTTTTTTCAGGTAACTACTATGCATATATCCTGTGTCTGTGCATGGGGATCTGTGTGTGTGTGCACTCAGGTGTGGAGCAGTGTTCCCTGCAAACTGTGCACTGTGCAGCCACTCAGGAGAGGTTCCAGTGCCACCCAGCTGATTAGCAGGGCTACAAAGCTAGGGGTTATTTTTTCTAATGATGGTGCACATTGGCACATGCCTTGGTGCACAGAAACATTTATTCCTCACATGGATGGAAAAATCCACAAGTGGATGAGAAAAATTAGAGGGAACATTGGCATGGGGGTACCTGTGGGTGGGTGTATGGGGATACCTGTGTGTATGTCCATGGGCGGTCTGTGGTTGGACTGGGGCATCAGTGTGTGCATGGGGGAGGCTGTGGGTGTGTGTGTGTACCAGTGTGTGCATGGGGGAGGCTGTGGGTGGGGTGGGTGTATGGGGATACCTGTGTGTATGTCCATGGGCGGTCTGTGGTTGGACTGGGGCATCAGTGTGTGCATGGGGGAGGCTGTGGGTGGGTGGGTGTACATGTGTGTGCATGGGG